CCCCCCCACCCCGCACCCTGAAACCCACTGTGTTCCTTTTAGCCATCTTGTGGCCACCACAAGGCCCCTCTCTGCTGCTGCGCCTTAAACATCTTAAGTAGAATGCAGCTTAAATGATATTTTGTCAGACTAGTCTTTAGGAATTACCGGGTCCAACCAGACCCGGCGTCCGGTTAATCCTCTCTCACAGGCTCCTGAACCGGATCCTATTTGAGATCATTGGGCATCTGTGGTCTCTCTCTTTTGCTTGGCCACAGACTGTTTCGTCTTGGTTTAAGGCTGCCTCCTCAACTCTAGCGCATTGCCTTTCACATAGCAACTGCTCAGTGCGCGATGTTCTTGAAGTTAGAGAATGAATCAGCCCATCAGTTGATGGACTCTGGCCTTTTGAGCCTCCTGTCTTTTTCCGTAGTGGACATGTGTTGGGCTGCTAACCACAATGCTAGCCGTTCGAGCCCACCGGCTGCTCCACGGAGAAAGACAAGCTTTCAGCTCCTGTAAGATTGGAAACCCACAGGGGCGGCTTGCCTCTGTTCCACAGGGTCACTGTGAGTCGGCATCAACTTCAGGGCAGTGCATTTCTAGTTCTCGCTTGGGTTTCTCGGTTCTAGGCTGATGTTGGGGGTTAAGTTGTGAAGATCCTGGGCACCTTAAGCCAGTAATGTATCAAGCACGGGGTAGGAGAGTCACATTTTTTTTCCTGAGACAGTCACATCTTAAGGGCATTATGTTTTTGAAGTAAACTCTTCTTTGCTTCTGTCTTTGTTTCCTGTAGGCAGAACTTAGTTTCTTCTCAGTCACACAAAGTTGTGGGATTGTGGTCGTTGGAAAGGGACAAGCAGAAGGGAAGGGAGTCCTCTCTGAGATGAGACAAGACTAAAAAGGTGAAAAGACTAGTGCGGTGGCAGCTTCCTTGGGCCTGGGTATTTTGGACTTGTGTTACTTGACCAAATGAAGAGCCACCATCCTCCCTCCCTCCCTCCCTCCCTCCCGACTTTAAGTAGGACAGAGCAGTGAGCCCTTAGGGACTGGCTTAGTTCACGGAGTATAATGCTTTCAGGGTTCATCCCTGCTGTAGCACGTGTCAGAACGTCATTGCTCTTGATGGTGGCGAGTAGCAGTCCGTTGTAGGTATGTGCCATACTTTGTTTTTGCACTCACCTGCTTGGGGATATTGTTTCTGCAGTTTGATTATTGCGAATATCGCTGCAGTGAACATGGCTAGATGGTTTCAGCTTTCCGGTCCTCTGAGTGTCTGTCTACCTAGGAGTGGAATTGCTAGGTTGAATAATTCTGTGTTTCACTTTTGAGGAAAAACCACACTATGGCTTTACCATTTTACAACTGCACCAATAAAAAGTAAATGGAGATCCCCCAACCCTGCCTTCTTGCATTCACCATTAAAGGAAAATAGTCAAACTCACTGCCATAGAGTAGACTCTGACTCATACTGTGACACTTTAGGATGGAATAGAACTGCCCCCTCTGAGTTTCCAAGACTTAAACCTTCCCAGGAGTAGATAGCCTCATCTTTGCCCCGTAGAGCAGCTGGTGCGTTCAAACCGTGATTATCAGCTCAGTGTGTACCCGCTAAACCTCCTATTATCTAATATGCCCAAGCACAGGGATAAGGTAATTGAGCACCTGCTCTTCAGAGCCAAGAACAATATGGGCATAGCACACACTGGCAGTTTTATTAGTGAATAAAACTGTGTTTGCTATTGTTTGGGTATAACTGCCAGGGCCCATTTGCAGACAGATGATCAAACGTGTCTGCATGCCTAAAGTGTGTTCCATAGTTTATACAGCAGGGACCTACTCTGTCACATCCTTGAGGGCTCCCTTGGCCTGTGGGTGGCCTTTCATCAAGCAGAGTGAGGACCTGACCCAGACCCTTTGTGGGTGAGGGTATATCAGAGAGCTTCTGGAGTCAACGGGAACTTTTCCAAGTACTTCTGTGGGTTCCAGGAAGGCCTTTCCACATTCCTTCTAAAGCCACATCTCCACTATGCTCCAAGGGGGAATCTTTCCTGAGACCATGGGTGACTGACACCTGAGAAATCGGACTGGCTGCAGGTTGCCTTTGTGCATAAGAAGCGTGGAGGCTACAGCTGACTTCTTGTGGTTCCCCAAGGGAGAAGGAGAATCTGGTGAACCACCAGCCCAAGGCTGATTGCCATGAGGCACAGGTCAGCTCTGCCTTCACCCTCCATCGGCTGACACCAGCAGCTCCTCCTACTTGTCTTCGGCGTTTGATAATTCATTTCAGTGGCCACACAGAACTCAGATAAACTCACAATTTCTAGGGGGCCTATTGGTGAAGTAACCAGGTTACCACAAGGCAGGTCAGCAACCTGTAAGGACACAGTCACAGGTCCATGGCCCTGCCTCTCCTCAGCCACCAACTGAGTCACTTTCTCTCTGGGCCTCAGCCTCTCAGGCATAGAGGCTTCTGCCTCTGTGGGCCAGGAAGTTTGCCTGCAGAGCCAAGAACGATCTGGGCACACGCTCCACCTCACTGTCCCACGGCCTCAGGTCCCTTGGTCTGCTCTGTCTCTCTGTGGCTTCTTTGTTCTGCCCCCAGGGTGCCTGCCACAGCTTCTGGTGCCTGCAGTCTTGGGCACCACTTCAGGCAGGGATTTTGAACATGTCCACTGGGGGCTCTTCTTCCTGGAGGGTCCTGGGTATTCTCTGTCCTAGCTTCTAAGATGACGCATAGCTGGGGGAGTGGTGGCTGAAACTGGCCAATCCCCTCTTAGCGTTTCACATGGCCTACTTACATAGCCCCGCCCAGATGCTTGGCAGGAGTTATGTCGACAGGGCTAGAACATCCATATGATGAGAGTGAAAGAAGAGGCCGCAGATTGAGGAGGGAAAAAAATTAGCAATGATATATCAGATAAAGGGCTAACTTCAGAAATCTATAGAAAACTACTAGACCTTAATGAGAAAAATACAAACAACCCAATCAAGCGATGGGCACAAGACATGAATAGATGGTTTACCAAAGATGACATCCAGGTGGCCAGTACTCATATGAAGGCATGTTCCTGCTCATGAGCCATAAAGAAGTGCAAGTTACAACAATGAGGGACCACCTCACGTGAACACTCTCAGCACAACAAACAAACAGAAGATAACAAGTGCTGGAGAGAATGAGGGGTTGAAGAGCTCCGACATGGCTGATGGCTTGGTGGGGCTGTAGACCTGAACAACCACTATGGAAATCAGTACAGCGCTTCCTTAGCCAAATGCAAATACCTTATGATCCTGTAATCTCTCAACTTAGTCTAGACCTTAAAGAAGTAAAGAACAACACATAAACAGACACATGCACTCCTGTGTTTATTGCAGCAATTTCTATCAAGGCAAAACAGCGGAAGCAATCAAAAACCCTAACTAGAGGATTGGATCGACAAACTCTGGTGCCTTCTTCCAGTGGAACTTTGGGCATCCTTTAACAAGGACGAGAATGTCAGACACCATCACACAGGGGCAAAGTTAGACAGCATCATGCTCAGCAAAATCAGCCATTCTCATAAGGGCCAACATTCTATGTCATCGTTAGGTTTCACCCCAAAGGATGAAGCCGTGGCGAACATACCTGGCTGATAACTAGAGGGTCGGAGGTTGGAGTATCCCCTTGAGATGCCGGGGAGAAGGCCTGGCAAGGTGGTCCTGAAAGCCAGCCTTTGGCAACTGTATGGAGCATGAGTCCCCTTGGACACACGGGTCACCATCAGCTGGGGTCAGCAGGACAGCAACCGTCTGCCAGAGTTGTGGAAGGAGATATGTCGTAGAGTAAAGTAGTGATCTTCGCCTTTCCACCCCTGTGCCAGTTTCCCTTGGAGAGGCGGTTCTCCTGGCAGACCGGAAATGCAGGCCCTCTACCAGAAATGCAAAGAAGGCTGGAAGTTGCCTCTAGCTTAAAAAGCACCCTGGTCATTGGTCAGTGGTGACTCAGTAACCCCTCGCAGGCTCAGTGCAAGGATACGTGTGGAAGCACCTGGAGGCGTCCCAGCACATAGTAGGTGCGCAGGAATGTCTACTCGGGCAGACGTGTGCACATCGCAGTTCACGGTGAGCCTCTGTACCATGCCGCCTGCTGTGGCAGCTGATTTTGACTCTATTCTAGTCTGATTATAGCCCACGAAGGAGCCACGCGTTTCCGAAGAGCCAACCCAGGGTTTCCTGAGAGTCTAGTTCGCTGAAGCAAGTGTAGAACACAAAACAAACCATTTCTCAGATGCGCCTTGTCTGGGTGCTCTTCCCTGTGCGGTGGGACAGAGGTTCAGAGGCAGGGCTTTTGTGGCTGCAAACAGCCACAGCCTGCCCACACTGAGCCAGGGAAGCCGGCCGGCAGTGTGTTCCAGGTGTGGGAACACATGGTGCTGGGGCTGGTCATCTGGAAGCTGGGAGGACATGGCTGGATGTCTTCTTGTTCCTCCAGGGGTCACGTGCAGTAACCGCTCTGTAACCTGGGTCCTGTCTCCCTGTTCCCAGGCCGTGCACACGGGGATGCGGGCGCTCATCTGTCACAGCTCCGCGGCGGGCTCGCAGGCCGAGCCCTCGGGCATGAGGACATACTACTTCAGTGCCGAAACCCTGGAGGACATGAACGCGTGGGTCCGAGCCATGAACCAGGCTGCACAGGTGCTGTCCCGGTCGTCACTGAAGAGGTCAGTCCTGCTTTGGGGGCGGAGGTGGGAGTGTCTCTGCCACAGTGGGCCCTTTTCTAGAAAATGTCTGTTTGAGAGCCTGGAATTCCACCGCTCATTAACCTGAATTCAGCCTTGCCCTGCCTTTGAATTGCTTCTTCGTAATGAGTACACGCCAGAGGGTAAGACAGGAGTGGAGAAGAGAGGATGTCTGTGAGAACCAAGCAAACAACTCCAACCTCCCTGCCATCAAATCAGTCTGACTCCCGGCAGGTGGGTTAGGCTGCGTTGTCCCGAGAAGCAGAGCAGTGACCCTCACACATGTGTAAGGAAGAACCTTATATCCAGAAGGCGGCCTAGTCCAGGCCAACTCAAGTCCATGGGTCTGATGCTAGCGGGAGCCCTCTACTGACTGACATAGCTGCAGGCTGATGACGACCCAGAAAGGTGAATCATGGAGATCACAGGTCAGTGGGTGCAGAGTCGAGTGGATCAAAGTCAGGGAGCATGGCAGGGCGCCATGTTGACCTCCAGGGCCCCTGACCTACACGGGGCCACCCCTAGTGGCAGGCACAGAGTCCTAGCAAGCAGGGGAGGGCGAGGGGGCTGAGAGGGAGAAGCTCCCAGAGTCTCCCTTATAAAATCTCAAGGAGGCATCATCACCAGGCTACCACTTGATTGACAGGTTGGACTCCACCCCAAGCTTCAACAGGTTGAAGTTGACATAAAATAAAACTGTAACAGCCAGGCTGTAGGTCAGAGTAGAACTACCCTCCTTTGAGTTTTCAAGGCTGTAAAGCCTCATCAATTTCCCTTGGAGAGGCTGGTGGGCTCAAACTGCTGACCTGGTGATGAGCAGCCCAGCATGTAACCCTGTCTGTGCCACTCTGTCCTGTCAGGACCAGCAGGTCCTCTTGTCTAATCTCTCCATCACACAGACAGAAACACTAAAGCCTGGAGCAGTGAAATGACTGCCCAGGATACACAGCCATGGATCCTGGTGTGTGTGCTTCTCTGTTGTTCTTGTCTTGTGGGTATTAGAAGGGTCACCTTGGGGCACCAGATTGGGGAACAGGAAGAGAATGGGCAGAGAAAGATCTTGCACATTAAAAATGGACCACAGGCTGTCCACCATGAAAACATCAAGATGCTGTTTGCCACTCTCTAGTATTCTGGCCCCTTTCCCTGTTGTCTTTGATGCCTCCGAGATCACCCAGCAGGTTCCTTCAGCCCACTTCCAAGTTCTCTTTGACCCCCTCCCTCCTCCCCATCTTGGACTTCCGTTGTCTCTTAACCAGGCTTGGCTTTCTTTTCAAGGTGAAGATAGGGCACTAAGTCCCCATATTCAAGAATTCGGCCTCTCTGCTCATGCTGCCTTCCCCAAGCAGTGTCTGTGTCTTACACGCTTTGAACAGCTCTTCTCCTTAGAAAAGGTTTGCTTTTACTGGATCTTCTGTCTTTTCGATCATTCACCTGCACCCCCCCCCCCCTTGTGCTTGGTTGGTGCCCCACCTTCTCTTTTCCCATGTGTCCTTTCTCATTTGAGCTCCAGAAGCTCCCCCTGTTGTTGACACTGGCTTCTTTAGATAGGAAGAGCACATGGATTTCTTCTTGTTCGTCTACTACTTGCTCCATTTATAAGGCTGGCTAGGGTACTGGTAGAGGACAATTTGGGGATGAGGGGAGAGGACAATTTTGGGCTTAATAGGAAAACATTTGATGATTAGTTAGTAGACCCATTTTGAACCCGTGAGCGTTAAATTTGCCAGACAAAACCTGGATGCACTCTAACTTTTTCTACCTGGAGAATTTGTAATTCACTATCAGGTTTGGGATTTTGAAAGACTCCTTCTTTATCCATTGGGCTAAGACCCTGTTTCTCTGAACTTTTTGAAAAAGTACTCTTCTTAAATGCTTAATCAGGAGGCCTGGTGGCATAGTGGTTACTTTAGGGCTGAGATCAAGGTCAGCAGTTCTAAACCACCAGCCGATCTTCAGGAAAAAGAGGGGCTTTCTACTCCGGTAAATAGTTGACTGCCTTGGAAACTAACTCACAGGCTGTTCTACACTGGTTGCTATGAGGTAGCATTGACTAAATGGCAGTGTGATGCTTGTAGTCAACTCTTAAGGCTCGTGATCATGTCTGCCCAAGGTCCTTCCTGTCTGTCTCTTTAAACCAATGATTTCTACCCTGTGAGTCAGAACAAAGACACAATAACTCTTCCCGTTAGCATTCTGAGAGATGAAATTGTCAGCAAAGCAAACGCAGACTTACCGAATGTTCTGTTTTATCAGAATAAGATGTTCAGACATTTGCTTGGTTAGAATTATTCATCAGGCAGGAATAAATCTTGCCTTTCCTCTGGTTTGGTGCTCTACCTGGGAAAACTTCGGTGTCTGTAAATGTGTATGTAGTCTTCTCTCTTGAGTCTCACTCAGCTGCTTCTCGCCCTTTCAAATGCATGTTTTCTTTATGATTGGTGCTATTTTAGTTAGGACTCTCTGGATCACAAATGACAGAAAACAACCAAATTTGCTTAAGGAAATGTGTTAGCCTGGGTGGACTAGAGAAACAAATTCATAGACATTCGTATGTATGTAAGAAGGAGCTTTATATAAAAGAGCAATTATATATTGAGAAAACATCCCAGACCAGTCTAGATTAAGTCCATAAGTCCCTGTGTCTGATACCAGTCTATAAATTCCTCTTCAGATTCAAACGACGTGCAATGACACTAAGTGCAGGAAGATCACAGGCCAGTGGCTGGAAAGTCTTGTGGAACCAGTGGTGGTGGAAGTATCTTAGCGCTGGTAGGGGTCTCCATGTGACTCCTCCAGCTCTGGCTCCGTCATCGTAGCTCCATGTGGCTTGTCAACAGGACTGTCTCACAGGGAGACAAGTAGAGAGTGTATCTGGCCTCCAGTGAGCTATTTAGCTCCTTAACACCTCTAAATGAGGTCTTCAAGCTGTGACCTGATTGACAGGTTAGACTCTACCCCTTCGCAAGTTAACAGGAGATTATGTAGCTGCCATAGGGGTGGGGACTTGTTGGTTCATGTTACTGAAAAGGCCAGGATAGATCTGGCATTAGAAATAGCTAGATTCAAGACTCAATCAATGTCAGTACAAATCCTTTTCCTCAGGCTCTGAACTCTGTCTCCTTCTGAGTTGGACTCATTCTAGAGCTCCATGTGGGGGTCCTAGGGAGCTCTAGAACCTGGTTGCAAGATAGCAGCAATAGCCAGAGACTCATGTCATCTGGGTTAAAGGCCAGCAGGCAAGAGTGAGTCTGTCCTAGACACTCTGAGATTCTTAGATCACATTTATACCCCAAACCATTTACCGTAATCAAAGAATGCAACATGGTGATCGGCACGGGCCTGGGCACAGATGCTTCATTCACTCTGGGAACCTGAGGTAGAGCCTCACCTAGTCCATGGGGACTGAGGGGGGTGGGGGTGATGGTGATGAGCAGATGAGTACCAAGGGCTAAGGCCTTTAGGGCTCAGGGCAGAGAAGGAACCAATGACTGCTTAGGAGGACAAGGGTGGTGCAAACAGCCAATATTCAGGTCAGATGACTTATCCCTCACTTTTTATGATTTATCCGCAAAAAGTTCATGGACATCTTTCCTTATCATTTAATTCCATTTCCCTACAACTTATGGGCTCAAATCCCAAACTCCCTGCCATCAAGTCGATTCCAGCTCACAGTGACTCTCCAGGACAGGGTGGACCTGCCCCTGTGGGTTTCTGAGACGGTGACTCTTCACAGAAGTGGAAAGCCTGGTCTTTCTCCCTCGGAGAGGTGAAGTAGGGGTTTCCAACTGCTGACCTTGTGATTAATCACAATGCCATCTCTTTTGAAGCCTCCTCTTATTATGTCTGTTTCTTTTGCCATGAATCTCTTCCTAGAGCTTCTTAGTCTCTGATGTCAGACAGACCTCCAGATTAAAATCCCAGCTCTTACAGATTTCCAGCTGTGTGGGCTTCTGAGAATGATGTGTGCGTTGTAGACCTCAGTTTGCCTGAGTGCATAGGATTGTTAAAAGGATTAAATGAGTTACGGTCACCTTGGTCTCCAGGCTCGAGGACGTTCTTGTGTTTTGGGACAGGCACTGATAGCAGGTGCTCATGGTGGTAGCACTGACCTGTATAGGAGCGGCAGTCCATCTGGAAACTTCTGGTCCACTTGTAAATGTCAGCACAATGTAGGACCAAGTTCTCTGAGAGGCACCATCATTGCCAGCCCGGGGGAACTTCCTTCTTTCCTGCCCAAGTGCTAAATGGAGCATTGCAGATCTGTTTGGTGACAAGCCTCTTGATTTGAGAAGTCATGTGCTAAATTGAAGGCGAGACAGGGAGAAACTAAACCACGTTTTTGCTTCCAACCCCACAGCTTAGTAAGTTAAATGTTTAAGGCAGGGCAGGGAGCAGGGAACATTATCTTCACCATCCTTTCTTGCCCATGGCCACAATCTGCACATTTTGAGCACAAGGGCATTTTATGTCAACCCCGGCAGTCACAGGAATAAAGAGCTGTGTACAATCCCAACATCTCAGCCCAGGAGAAGACCAGGTGGCAAGCAGGTTACCATACTTGAGCCACAGTCTAAAGATTTGTTGTGCAATCAGTGCTGGCATTGATCTGAAGAAAGAGGGTTTATCATCTTATCAAATTTGCTTTCAGAAAGTGTTGGTATTTTTGGAAGTGTGAATATGCATATGACTACCACCCATCTGTCATCTTGTCATATTGTAGTGGCTTGCACGTTACTTTAATACTGGAAACTGTGCCACCAGTATTTCAAATGCCAGCAGGGTTCCCGTGGTGGACAGGATTCAGCGGAGCTTCCAGATGAAGCAATCTAGGAAGAGAGGCCTGAAGATCTCCTTTCAAAAGTTAGCCAGTGAGAACCCTATGGATCTCCGCAGAATTTTGTCTGAATCCTCCTGGAGGCTGAGTCCCCTAAGTCAGAAGGCACCCCTAACTCACAGAGGCTGCCACAGGGAACTCAACATGCAACCGGAACAGCATTGCCTTCTGTGGTACATGGAGTTATGAATCCACTTAGACTCTACAGAACGAACAACAACGTCCTCATATGAGAGCATACAGTTAAGACTAGGCGTTCAAGCTGTAAAGTTAGCTCCAAGGTTAGAAATGATTAGCCAAGTCTAGAATTTTTTTTTTTTGCTTTGTTTCTTTGGGAAGTGGTGGTGGTGGTGTATGACCAGTATCAAATGTGGCGATCATGATTAAATCGGGCTCTAGAGTCACTTGGCTTTGAAGGCAGAAACTCTCCCCTGCCCTGGCCTGCCTTACTGGGAAACCCATAGGTGCCCACGAAGTAAGTGGTAGTTGCTTAGTAAAGAGACAAGTCCACGTGACAGTGGGTTGGCTGAGACCTTGTATTCACAGTCCTGGGGTCCTTGGATGAAAGAACTCGCTTTCCCGTTCATTTTCATGGCGCCCCTGTAGGTGGCACATTGGTCGCCCTCTCTGGCTTTCATGGCAAGGTGCTGTGTATCTCCGGGCTGTGACTAGCAGGGTGGTCCAGCTGCTCCGGTTTCACCATTGGAGTAATGCCTTGGAAGCATCAGTGCAGATGAAACCCAAAGCAGTGTGCAGCTTATAAAGCACCGGAGAACAGCGAGATCCCTAGTCTTCTGCCTTAGCTCACCCCGAGGGTGGGTTCTGAATTCGAGAAATAGTAAAGATAAGCGCCAGCTGGGCAGCTTGAAAGCCCCAGGTTGGGTTACAGTGATGGGGCTCTAGAGGATTCGAGGAAGAAGGGAAAAGTGAAGACCATAGGTGCGGACATTATGCAGCAGAGTTGGCCCTTTATAAGCTTTATAAGGATTTTTTGTTCCCTAAAGGAGCCCTGGTGGGCACAGTGGTTATGTGTTGTCCTTCAAAGCCCAAGGTCAGCAGTTTAAAACCACCACCTGTGCTGAGGTAGAAAAACGAGGCTTTCTACACCTGTAAAGAGTTACAGCATCAGAAAGACCCACAGGGCAGCTCTGCCCTGTCGTGTAGGGTCGCTGTGCGTGATTTGGAGTCAACTCAGTGCCACTGAGTTAGTTTCTTCGTTTTTTTCCTTTCGTTTTATTTTTGGTTTTATAGTGAGAAAAAAAGGGGGAGGTCCAAAGAACGTTTTCCCCAAAAAACTTCGGATTTTCCTAGAAAAACTATTAATGCATGGGCAGTGAGATCAGGCATTGTTTTTCTCAGCTCTCCATGCCTAGGTTTGTTTTAGGGCACAAAAGAGACGCCCATCTCGGATATTTTTTGAGGAGGACATTCATTGAGTCATAAAAGGGACAGAGACACGGACACTTCACCTGGGTGAGGGAGGCCATTAGCATGAGGTCAAAGTGACCTCCTAGGATTCACAATCAGGACGCTATGTAAATAAAGCATGGAACAAAGGAAACTGCCCCAAATTTATGCTTGGTGGCAGATCAATACATGGGAGTTCCAGGCGGGACTCCAAAAGCGGGAACAGCCCCATGGTTTGGACACATACATCATTATTATCTAGGACAGCTCATCAGATTGGTCCAGGGCCTTCTGGCCAAGGCTCATAACTGTGAGCCTGGTACACACAAGAACGCATCCAGGCAAGCCCCTTAGTTAGACTGCCCTGGAGAGAGGTGAAGGCAGTCTACTTTCCAATGCACTCTACCTGAGGGCAAGACTGTCTACATCCTGGGTGAACGATCAGAAGGAATCCAATGGAGGCTTAATCTACCTAAGGACTCTGTGGATGGGTTTTTGGGCTTTCACTGTCAGCCGTAGCCTTCTGCAAATGGGGATGCTCAGAATTCAAGCTCTAATACAGTTTAAGGCTACCAGTTAGACCTACACGCAATAAGAAGCTGGACCTGTGTTAAGGATTATAGCTTCACTTTATGTTGACTTTGTAGCTATTCCCCAGGCTAGATGGATTCTGGTCTGAGCTTCTACTGATGATTGTCAGCTGATTTAAATTGATTCTATGGCAGTGAGTTTGGGTTTGGGAGAGTGTGAGATTGTTGCAGGGACAGATGGGATCTGACTACATGTAAATGAGGAATCATTTGCATTTTACACTCTCAGTTTACCACGGAAATGCCTCTGGTTTGACCGTTTTCTGGGGTGATGGATCTTAGGGTCCTAATCTTTCTGCCTGGGAGTACCAGCAGGCTGGCTGCCCCAGTCCAAGGATTCCTGGTAAATTTTCTGGTCCATCTGGGCCAGCCTGAAGTCCATTTCCCTGCCTCCCTACTCAGAATTCTGCAAAGTTTATGGAGCCCCTGGTCCCAGGTGACGGATGCAGGCATAACTAGGACTCCGCCCCAGGTGGCAGGGAGAAAGGCCCCTCTCTTTTCTGTCTGGAGCAGGCTAAATGTGCTGATGTCATTGCAGGGACGTGGAGAAGGCGGAGCGGCAGGCAGTCCCCCAGGCCAATCACACACAGTCTTGCCGTGGGTGTGGCCACGTGGGATCTGGACACGCAAGGGATTGTCCTCATCAGGGCCATGATGGCTTCGAAAGGCGGGAGCAGGAGGAAGAGCGATACCGTTCCCAGAGGGACCCACTGGAGGGCAAGTGGGACAGGAGCAAGGCGAGGTCTCCCTACTCGCCAGCGGAGGAGGATGCCTTGTTTGTGGACTTGCCTGGGGGGCCGAGAGGTCAGCAGGCACAGCCCCAGCGCACAGAGAGGAATGGCGTGCTGCCTCCTGCATATGGTCCAGGAGAGCAGAATGGGACTGGCGGCTACCAGCGAGCCTTTCCTCCCAGGACCAACCCTGAAAAACACAGCGAGAAGAAGAGCAGCCTGGCCCAGGTGGAACACTGGGTGAAGGTGCAGAAGGGGGACGGCAGGAGGTCAGTAATAGAGTCGGGATCGCTGCTGATGATGCACATAAGAACATAATCGCAATAGTTACCATTTGCCCAACACTCAGCGTGGCTTTAAACTCTTTACCTCCATTAGCTCTGCAGCCCTGTTAACAGCTCTGCAAGGAGAAGGTGTTATTCCCCACGTCTCAGACCAAAACACGGGGCCCAGGAAGGTGAAGGCACCTGCCCAGGGTGCGTAGACAGTGACTGATAACAGGGTTCAGACCCAGGTCGGTCGGCTTCTGAAACTCGCAGATTGTATCAGAAGGCATCTCATGTCCCCAAGATCGGGCCTTGAGACATTCAGCCTGTAGATAGTAACTGATCTCCTCCTCTTATGCTGCTGATTCTCTGCATCCTAGAAATTATTTGTAGAAAGCAGAGTAACTACGATTCCATTTTTAATTCTAGGAACATGGAGAAGGAAATACATAAGCCCTGTTGACATTGGGCTTTATGGTACTCATTCCTTCAGGAAGCAGCTTTTAATTATTTAGAAGGCTTGAATCTCTTGTTATTTGCAAAGCACTGTCTATATTGTCTCATGAGTTTAGATGAGTTAGGACACATTTATGGCCCTGAAGAATTCACGGTCAACTAACTTCCAGATGATCTTCAGAAGCCACTAAAACAAACCGCAGGTGGGAGAGGAGATGGAAAGCTTTTGTGCATTCAGAGAGCTCCCAGGGGCCTGGAGTGGCCATAGTGCATGTGTCTGAGCAGTGAGCACGGGCCAAGCTGCCACCATCCTGATGAACGTGTTCTCAAATGCCATACTTTACTTCTCCCTGTGTTCCACCTGTGGGCTGTGACGGTCCTGGGGAAATAGTGTTAAGATGTGTAGGCATGGTGTGCACGTGTGGGTTGCTTTAATACCATCCAGACAGTTGTGAGGGTGGGCGGTGGGGAAAGCACACTGGAAATACCCAACGCAACAGGTGGACAGTGTTGCTGGGCAGGCAGACCAGGAAGCGAGAAGGCCTCCTGTGTTGTAGCTGAAGTAGACTGAGCAGGTGTCATTGATGACTGTTCGACTGTGGAGCTGACTTGTTGAGCACAGCAAGCGATTACCCAAGGACTGGGAGGAAGGAAACTCCTAGTCTTGGTGCTGAGCTAGGTGGGTCCCCTGGTGGGTAGCTGTGAGGTGGATTTGAAGGTTGGCAGGGATTGTATGATGTAGGTCCTCACACTTCAAAGTAAGGGATTTAGATTTTATTTGAAGAGCAACAAGGGGGTACTATTGGAAGGTTTTAGACAGGCCAAGGATTGGATCTGATTAATATTTCACAAAGGAGATAGCTCAGTGAGGAGGCTGTGGCCGTAGTCCAGAGTGGTGACGGGAAATAGGAACAAACAGTTGAGGTACATGCTGGAGGTGGAAGCAACGAAGCTTGCCAACGCTTTAGATGTGCAGGATGCAGGGAAGAACCAAGGGTGATCCTGGGATTTGGGCTGGAGCAACTGAGTGATTGCAATAGGACAGAAACCGAAGGCCTACCCCCTATGCTATCGAGTTAGGTTTTTAATCCTGAAGGCCTGGCAAAGTCATTGGTGGCTGTGAAACAGGACAATGGCACGCGAATTTTTAGGGCAGTAGTTTGAAGGGTATTGGCAGAGAGGCAGAATCATGACCACCTGCTACTAATGATCTCAAGAACATAGCCGTAGTGATCCTTTTCCCAGCACCTGCTAAGCACCAACCTTAAACCCTTCGCCCATCACCTCACTAAGATTTCAGAGGCTTTTCTCACCCCATACAGATAGCAGGTGCAGGTATGTTGGAGGACATTGTCCAGGTGACTCCAGTGTACGCCATCCAAAATGAGACAGCTTTAGCTTACCTGTTGCGTCTTTCGGTTTTTATTAAAGTGTTCTATCGCTTAAGAATTTAAATAGTACAGCTGCCACCATCCTGCCCCTGATTCTGCACCTTCGAGGCAACCACTTTTCAGTTCTTTTAGCAGTGTCCCAGTTGCTTTTGTGCGTACGAATAAAAGATGCATTGCTATGTCTTGATTTTTTTCAGTGTTAGTGTCGACTGACGTTTGATTGAGGAGCCTTGGTGGCATAGTAGTGGCGCGTTGGGCGGCTCACGGCAAGTTCGGCAGTTGGAAACTCCCATCCCCTCCAAGGGAGAAAGACAAGTCTGTCTGCTCCCGTGAACAGTTGCAGTCTGGGAGACCCCCGGGGCAGTGCGACCTGTCCTGCAGGGTCTGTTTGAGTTAGATTCGACTTGATGGCAGTGAGGGCTTTGGTTGGTTTGTTCATTGACATTCTGTTCTGGAGATAAGGATTTCGTCTTTTATTCCCACTCTCGCCTTTTCCTGTGCATTCTGTCGGACACACATTTGCTTCATCCCAGCTTCCCTGTACAGTGATAGTGTGCTTTCTGGTTAGAGCACCGGGTGGCATTTCCATTAATTTGATGATGTAAGCATTTATCTTAATACTGAACATATAAATATATGTACATTGACCTTTATCCCTTTCACTATAAATTAATATATTTACCTACATATGCCTATAGCTATATCTCTATAGATAGCTTTTGCCCCCTACTTCTTTCCTCTATTTCCTTTCACCTTCCTCCTGTCCCACTATCATGCTGACCCTCCATTTGGCTCTCAGTAATTCCTCTTGGATACATAGCACCTGATGTAACCCCACCAGGCGTTATACCCTCTCCTCGCCATCAAATTCTGCAGAGTACCTTATTGTATGGACATATAATTCCTTGTTGATGGGAATATTTCCAACTGCCGAGGATACGGTTATGAATGTCCTTGCGCAATTAGTTGTCTTTGCGTGCAAGTACATGTGAAGGACAAATGACAAGTCTGTGGGATGGCCGAGCTGGAGTATAGGCAGTTTCAATTATGGGCAGTTTGACAAGATTGCCCTCCAAAGATGTCAGTGCAGTTTCAACTCCACCGAGAGTGTAAACATGTCTCTGTTCTCACCTGCCTCTCAGCCCTGAGAACGACGAAGCTGGGTTACAGTCCGGAAGACGGTCCAGGGGAGGAAGGGACCTGAACAGAGGAGAGGAGGGGCCTGATTGTGATTTGGATCGGAGGTGAGAGTAGTGAAGAGGGGAAGGAGGGTGGAGGTCGTGAGGAGGGCGTGGGGAGCGCAGGGATGAGTAGCCGCAAGCCTGGGTAGTCTATCGGCCCTGCTGAACTGATGTATCCCTGGGTGGTGGGAGCCGGCACAGATGGGTTTCAGGTCACGGTTCAGGGTTGGCCTGGTTCATAGGTGCAGGTGGTGCCGCGTGCAAGATGCAAGCTGAGGAGAAGGGAGTGGGCTTGGAGAGGCTGTGGGCGTCCAGGTGGGGATGACTTGTAGGTCTTAAGGAATGCGGATGCAAATCAGAGAGAGATTGGGGGCTGACTGATGCCATGCAGTAGCTGTGATGCCAGGGTAGTATCCTTAGAGCAGTGGTTCAACCCTGCTGTGTAATATGCTTGTTTGGGGAAGCGTAAAGATAGTCTGCAGCGTAGGCCCTCCCCCAGGGGATTGCAGCATCCACTCACTGGAGGAACTGATTGTTTGACTGCATCTGGAGAGGTTGAATGTTCACTGAGACTTGGGTCAGACACCCAAAAATGTTGATTCTACTGGTCTGGGCTGGAGCCTGGACATCAGGTTTTAAAAAGCAGTTACCCTCCCCCATCCATGACCAGGCGATTCTAATGTGTGGGGTTGAGGCACATTAATTAATAATAGCCTCGGGAATGTGGACAATAGACCTGGGAAAGCCTGGCCCAAGCGTTAGGCAATAGCCAAGTCTCCACAAGGAAGAGCTGCCAGGAGCAGGACCGAGGGGACAGTCTTGTCTGGAAGGAGGTCAGTTGGCAGTAAGAACCCTGGTAGTGTAGTGGTTACTAGTTGAGCTGCTAACTGCAAGGCCAGCAGTTCAAAACCACCATCTGGCTCTCTGGCAGAAAGACTGGGCTTTCTATTCCTGTGAAGAGTGAGAGCATTGGAAACTTACAGGGACAGTTCCACCCTGTCCTACAGGATCAGAGTCAGCATCGCCTCAGTGGCGGTGAGGTTTTGTTTGTTTTCAATCAGTTCGTGGTGCTGCCAATAATGAGTTCCTCTTCCTCGGACACGGGGGATCACGGAAGGAAGTCCCTCAGGTCTCTGTGGTCAATAGCAGAGGCCACTTGTCAGTCCGGAGCCCCTGGGGTTTACTCTTGGTTGCTAGGGAGAGGTGGTAGCTCGTAGTCCATCCAGAGGCACCTCGGAAAAAATGGGCACCTTTTCAGCCGCTCCAGAGGAGAAAGATGATGCTGTCCACGTCCAGGAAGCTGGGCTCCTCAAAAACCAGCCATGGGAACCGCGTGGAGCACAGTGCTCTTCTGACCAGGGGAACTTGTGTTGAGTCAGAGTCGGCTCCATAGCAAGTCACTTAATTCAGCCATGCTTTTTGGTGGGCAGGCTCAAATTCTCCTAATCAACAGAGCTAGAATTTGGAAGTGAGGCCGGGAAGCAGAGAAATAGGAGGGAAGGAAAAACTCTTGTTGCCATCGCGTCAATGCTGACTCAGAGCGACCAGATAGAGCAGGGTAGAACTGCCCCTGTGAGTTTCCAAGACACTAACTCCTTACAGGAGCAGAAAGCCTCGTCTTTCTTCAGAGGAGCAGCTGGTGGTTTCGAACAGCTGACCTTGAGGTTAGCACTCCAACTTGTAAGCACTACACCATCTGGGCACCAAAGGAGGGAAAGGCAGGAAGAAACTTGTCAATGGCATGGCCAAGGAGGGACCCTTTGTGAGCAGGGATATAAAAAGGGCTTTTTAAAAATGGGGTGACTGACGTGCAATTATAAATCGTTGGTTGTGGAATGTCTCTATGTAACTATTCTGCCAGTTTACAAATCTGCATTTGAAGTTCTACATACAGCAGCCTGTGCTGGGGAGTGTGGGGGTGCGTCAGGGAGCTGACAGATGAGAAGTCAACGGCATGAGATGAGAGGTGGGCGGG